TGACTCCCGCGTGCGGTAAACAGGTGTTAAAAAAAGAAAGTCACCTCGGGATCGTTAACGATGGAAATTTCGGGTTTGCCCTTACCATGGTTGAATCGGTCTTGGATAAGGCGGGTCCCACGATGTGGGTTTAAGGGGAAGGGCAAATACGTCTAAAACGGCCACTAAATATAAATCCCCAAAATTTACTTGCTCTTTTTAAGGTTTCCCATTCTTGTCCTTCTCAAACTGGATTTAAATCCCAGTGAGGTTTATTTATCATGTATACTCGAAATGGGATTTTAAACCTGTAGTTATCATGACCGGATTTGGTTCAAGATAAAAATGAACGGATAATTGCAAAACCCCATGACCTTTCTATGCAACTTACCCAAAATTATATTTTTTTTCAATTTTTTTACCAAAACCAAAATTCTATGCAAATACCCCTTCAAAGAAAAAGTTACCCTTAAATGAAAAAAGTTAATTTTTTTAAACATAAATGTCCATTTTGTACATAAAAATTATTTGGCCAGATTTGATGTTAACTTTTGGGGAAAATTGTGAGAGAAAAAGTTATATTGGGGATAAATTGTACAGAATGTGTAGTCTTTGGAGTTTTTTTGTAATTTTTTTTAAAATTAAAATTGGTCAAAAATTAGTTAAAATTAATATTTGGTTAGTTTAGGCTGATTTGACTAGACGTTTTTAATTCGGTTCGACACAAGGTGTAAAGTTTTTTAATATATTTAATATTTTAAAACTAATATATATATATATTTTATTTTTTTATAATATGGTGCAATCGACTCGACTAATGGCTGGACCAGTTTTGACAAGACTAAACATTTCTTCAATTCAGTAGCCGATTTGATCTAGATAACATTGATTAACCATAGAACAAGCTGATTGATCAAACCGATCACTAGTGCCTTTATTGGTCTAATCCAAACTGAAATTTAGACTTCCTTAGTAAAAAATTTGTCAAAAGAATGTTTGATAGGTTGGACCAACTAGTTTTGAATAGCTAGATTTGGTGACCAAAATTGAGCAATTCATTTGGCAATATATTTTATTTTTTAGAGTAATTATTTGAATTGTTTTAAAAAAAATATATAACTTAACAATTTAATTGTTAATTCGATCAATTTTAGCAATACCAGGCCTCTCATCACTTTCGTAGCCAAGCTGATCTTAATAACATAGGTTTTTGTCCTGAAAACAAAAGAAATAAAAAATAATTATCCTCACTCGGTTTACGCCCTTGTAATCTTGTTGGGGGAAATATTTTTGCTAGGCACAAAAAGCCTCTCCATCCACCCAATGCATCTGGGCCGTCCATTCTAGATTTTAGTTTCATCGAGCATTCTGGGGCCTCCATGATGTGAATGAAAAACTCTATGCAAACCATATCCAAACTAACCATAGTATCATTTCCTTTGCCTGAATTCAACCTCACATCTTTTCGATCTAGGTCATTAAGCTTGTTTCAAATAATTTTTGGCCTCTTGATTTGATCTAGATGTAAGGCTAGATGGTCAGGACACTCAGGTGCCATGTAACATAGCGTATTGAATTCCTCCGTTACTACAAATAAAAGATCATTTACTAGCTGAACTACCCAAAAAGTAAAAAAAAAATATAGGGATAACCATGCCATACCACAATAGCAATGCCTTTGGGTGCATGTAAACTAATAACATTTGGATTTTTACCTATTTGTTTTGTATCAATTACTGTGGTGCACATGGTACACCCTCTGTGGGCATATTGTAGGGACACTTATTTGGGGGGCCTATGCCATCCCTTTAAGGAGCACCATTGTCTTACATGAGTTAGGGACGGTGGAGATTGTATCGAGAAAGCAACTCTACAATACATTTGGAATGTACATTGGAGATATACAACAAATGCATTATCTTTATTTCCTTATCTCAGCTGTCCAACTAATTTTTGAGGGTGGATGCCTCTTAGGGAACAAATGAATATTGTTTTCTCTTGCCTACTACTCAATCATTTTTATTTTCCAATGAGTTCCTACATCAAAGTAGTTCTACTAATTTGGGCCAAACAATTAGAGGCTTGTTGGTTGTTCATTGGGTAAAACCTCATCCAGGAGTATCTTTTTTACTTTAAATTTTATGAATTAACCCCCTCAACATAAAAAATAAATATATAAATAACTAAAAAGAATAGTATTGTATGTGCGCTCAAAAAAAAAAAGATCATAAGATTGAACATAGATCATGTTATTTTGGATTGTCACCTCTAAATGTTTAAAAACTGCAAATTTAATTTTTTCTAAAATACTTGTGAGGTGATTTAAAGTGGATTGCAAAATTTTAAGTGCAACAAATCCTCTTAAGTAGCTCACAAAAAAGCAATGATTTAAAATTTGATTCAGATCGTGAATCGTTTAATCGAAACTAAAAATTTGCCAAGATCAAACTACAAATGCTTTTATAAATTGTGGATCTGGATGGACAATCCCGTGATCTGGCACAAGATTAATGGATAGACAACCCCTTCCCTCCAACCAATCCATTTTTTTTTCAAACATTGCCATGGTGACTAAGGAGTAAGTACAGCATGAACAAGTAATTTAGATTTAAATTCAAACCGGAAATTATTTCATTTGTCGAGGATATTAGTATCAATTTTGAAGCTAACAAAAAAAAAAAAAAAGTCGGTGGTGAGTCTGAGCCGGCGGTATTTAACCAGGGTTAGGAGACCGCGGTTAAAAGACGACCTCTGGTTACTATTGATGACGTGGCAGGCGTCTGTGACCTTTCCAAGTAGGCTTGGACCCACACTTGACGTCTAAGTCTCGTTAACTGAATTAACGTTTGACCCTACCAGTCCAGACTCGGTTTTTCATTTTTCTATTTCGGCGAAAGTTTCAAAGTTTCGGTTTCGTTTCAATTTTGGGGCCAACCCGAGTCGACATGCACAAACATGTTAGTAGAAATTTGAGTAATTTACGTGTACATATTCGAAAAGTCCCGTTATTCAAAAAACACTAGTAAACTTAAGTTGTTCTTAATAATTTAAAAATGAAATTTTTTCCTCTATCTCATATTTTCGGTTTCTGAAGTTTAATATGTAATATATGTTACCCGGAGGCCAGTATTTTAGTTGCAAAAATACTTCAAAATTTAAAAGTTGAATAAATTTAATTTAATAAATATTTAAAATTTTTTAAGCTCGATAAAAACTAACTTTGAAATTTTAAGTTCCAAATATTTACTCAATAAAATAGTTTGGATTCTCGGATTTTAAAAAATCTAAAGTATGGGTAATAATTTTATTTTTAAATGAATAAATTAGGTATGAATGTAATTATATGGAAATTTTAATTTTTTTAAATAATTCGATTTTAGGAGGACATACGTGTAAGTTATTAGAGACATTCTCGGGCAAATTTTAAAAATTGCCTCCAAAATCCGTGATTTAAGAGGATAAAAATTTCGGCGAAAACCAGCGGAAGCCTTGACAAACTGTTTAGAACGAAATTTCGACGAAATTTATCCGAAGTATAGACAGAATCCCACGAAAAGACAAGATTGTGAGATAAAAGTTAAAGACAGTCTACGAGGTGAGAAAAGTTTTTTGAACTCTTATTATATTGTGGTTTGTGCCCAAATTACCCTCTTGCGGTTACTATAATTACACTTGGTACTATGAGTTAAACTGAAGGTACCCCACTATTTAGACATTAGGGTAAAGGGATTTATATAAAAGTAAGGGCTAATTATGGTTAAATCAATAATTCTAACCCTTGTTTTGCAAAGGAAGAACAATGCCATTTGATCTCGTATTATTTAAAAATATAAAAAAAGAGCTAAAATATATCCCATTTAACATGCGAATTTCTCTTTCAAAATCAATTTTCTAATTACTCCTAATCGGAGTGAAGAACCTTGAAAAATGGATATATTTTGCGATTAAACATTTTTTTTAGTAAAGGGGAAGATGATAATTTATGAGGAGATTTTTGATAGAGTAAAACAGTGAAATATGATTCATTTAGTCTATCTCAAATAATTAAAATAAAGTTATGATGATAATGAAATATTTGTTAAATCTTCATACTTGCAAAAATTCTTATTTTTTGAAAAATAAAACTACCCAAAGACACCTTTGGTCAGGAACAATCACGGGTACTCGAGCTATTGGATAGTTTCATTGTTCACAACTTGAATAATTTGAGGTATTTTCATATTTTGATTCCCATTTAAGTGGGATATCAAATTACCAAAATGCCCCTTTTTGCTTGTACTTACTTTAGGCAATTGGATAGTTCATAAATTTTAGACCATATTTTCAAGGATGGTTTTTTTTGTGAAATGAAACTTAAAACCTAAATCTTGTTTGATAAATACTAAGAGCCTTTTAACAAGCAATGCAATAATACAAAGACAAGAAAAAAAGATAAAATATTATATAAAGTTAGCAACTTCAAAATAATGTGTAAAAGTATTTACAAGTTAAAAAACCTTCAAATTGAACATCTAAAATTTGAGATATATAGATATTAAAAAAATAATTAAATCTTAAAATAATACATTTAGTAATATATTATGTACATCATCTATTTCTAAGATTTTCGAATAATATAGATTTACATGATTTTAAAAATTTTAAATTCCATAATTAAGTTAAACATAGATTTTAGATCCATCTTAAGCTTTTTGATACCAAAATTTACATCCTATGTGAAATTTAGAGATATATCGTGCTTGTATAGTATAAAATAGGCTTTATAAAAATCTCACCCAAAAAATAAAACAAGTGAAAAAGAATGAAAACGTAAATAGTTTTTTAACTCAGGTTAAATGCGTACGGGGAATGGTTAATTGTACGGCTCCGGTTACGCACTGTGTCGTCACCATTTTCTTATTTTTTCAACATATAATAAATAAATAAAAACCATCTTAAAAATCTGTTTCTCATTTCTGATTTTTGTCTTTAAATTTTGTGCCTCGAAAAGAAACCCCTTAAAAACCTTGGCGCTTGCTGAATCACTCCCTCTAGTGGTGGTTTTTCCAAAACCACTCTCCCCTGATTCACATGCAGAAGAAAACCGCCCTTTTGTCTCTCACCTCTGCGAATCCATGGCGGTTTTGCAGTTCATGATCTTCTGTCACATGGGTCTTGATCATTGATATAAACTTTAAAAAGTGGGAAACATTTTCAGGTGAAAGCTCCATAGTGGTTTTCAAAAGCGGTTTGGGTTTTGACAATGGTGGTTTCTCAGAGCTCCCTTTCTCTCTGATTCCCATGCACCTTGTCTAAAAAAACCCACTTTTCCTTTTCTGCTCTCTCTGCAAAATCCATGGCGGTTTCGCAGAAGCCCCATTTGTAAAATAAAAAAAAAACCCCATCTTTTGTTCTGTTTCTGGTTTGCGCTTTGGGTTTCCCAATATCTGTTGGGAAAATCATGGTGGTATTGGAGGTCCCTTTCAGTTTATGGATTTTGGGTTTTCACAAAGAATACCAGGTGAGTTCAGAATCCAGAGTGGTTTCTCAGTGGTGGTTTCTGGTTTTTTGGGCCTTTGTGTATATTTAGTATGATCTTTCTGTTTATTCTGCAAACTTGCTAAATCTGTTTTTGCTTTTTTAAAGATATATTTAATTTTTCTTGCCTTCTGTGCTCTGCTTTTGCAGGACGTTTATTTCGAATAAAAAAGAAAAAGGGGTTCTAATGTTGAGTAGAAGATCAAGCCATGTAACCAGGTGATTTCTAATGCTTAGTTTGGATTTCTATCACTGCTTTTCGGTTTTGGGACCGATTATATGCAAAAATGTAGTACTTTTGATTCAATTCACTTTGTTTTTGTGTGTAATATTATCTCTCTCTTTCTCTCTCCATGGATAAATTGGGATTATGATTATGGTCCTGCGGATTTCATGCTTAGGTTTTGCCTCTAATCCGTCTCTATTCATTTCACCTGAACCTTTTTCTTTGTTTTAAGTTGTTATTACTCTCTCTCTCCCCCCTGTGTTATTGTATATCAAGGGGGATGGATATGCCATCATGGTTGAATGCGTTATAATTGCTGTGGTAAATCGTTTGCCATCTCTTTCTCTCTGAAGTGTCTTTTTATGAGGGGAAGGGGTATGTTCATCCTGGTTGAGTGCTTTATATTTATTGTGGTAACTGATTCCAGCTCTCTCTCTTTCTCTCTCTCAGGTCTTCACTGCACTCCATGACTTTGTGTCCATAAGAGACATTGGAAAGTATGCTTAGAAAGAGATCAAGGGCTGTAAGCAGCAAGCCAAACTTGATGGCTGATTATGTTTCTGATACAGCATCTGTAACTGAGAAATTCAATAAGCCATCTTCCTCTTCTTTTTTCGGTTCACCCAGGTTATTCACAGGCTTTGGGACGAAGGGTTTCTCTGAATCTGATACAGCAACAAGCCCTACTTCCATTCTTGATAGCAAACCTTTCACTGGCTTTGGAAGCCATTTTTGGCCCGATACTAAACAGTTGTCGTCTCCAAGGTCAAATTTTGAACAAAGACGAGCCTTGGAGAAGATGGATTCTAAAGGGATTGGTCTTGGTATAGTTGATTCTCTCACTACTGAGAATAATGATAAAGATTCTAAGAAACCAGACGCTAGAATGGTTGTCTTTGGTTCCCACCTCAAGATTTCAATTCCCCCTTATGACCCCACTTTGGTTTCTCAGGCAAGCCCCCTAAATTTGGCAGATTCATCGCCTTTTTTGAGCAAACCTCGCTTTGATCCCTCAACTCCTGATCTTTTTGGAGAAGCTCAATTTGGTTGCCCTGAGAATTCTAGAGAAACCCAATTTGGGTATTCGAATTCTAGCTCCTCTGTTCCGTTTTCACCGAGTAACCATTTTGGTCCTGCAAATCCCACAAGTTCTAGTGAAACTGGATTTATGTTTTCGAATTCCCTGCCCTTCTCGCCCAAGCATATCTTTTACTCCGTGGCTTCTGCCAATTCTAGTGAAACCCAACTTGGTGGTTTGAACTCTCTGAGTTCTTCTCCTTTTTCGCATGAAAACCCTGCATATTCTAGTGAAACGCGGTTTGGGAAATCAAATTCAAACAGTTCTTTGCCTTTATCCCCACAAAATGTGATCATTTCACCACGGCGCACTAATTTTAGCGGAGCCCAGATTGGGAATTCATCTGAATCCACTGAAAGACCCATTGTTCATTCAACTTCAAAGGGTTCTTTGCTGTTTTCTCCTAAGAATCTGGTTGACTCTGCTAGTTTTGTGAATTCTAGTGGAACTGGGTTGGTTTATTTGAATTCCAATGGTTCTCAAGGGAGCTCATTTCAGTTAGAGAAGCGGGTGATTGACTCGAAGGATCGGGTTAACAGTATGGAGGTTTCTTCACCTCTATCTGTGGGGTCTCCTCGGGTTTTTACCGGGTGCCTTTCGGCTAGCGAGATGGAACAATCAGAAGATTATACTTGCATAATATCTCATGGACCCAATTCAAGGACAACCCACATATTTGATAACTGTGTTGTGGAGAGCCCCTTTGTTGGGTCTTTCTCTACGAAGAAGGAGAATTGGGCCGTCTATGAAAATCAATCGACTTACCCTTCCCACGATTTTTTGAGTATTTGCTTTGCCTGCAAAAAGAAGCTAGGCCAAGGGGAGGACATCTTTATGTACAGGTCTCTTTCTCTCTCTCTCTCTCTCCCCCCCCAAGTGTGCGTGCACGCGTGCACATGCTTGGTCGGGTGCACTTCTAAGGTATTAGGCTCACTGTTCTTTTTGTTCTTTTTGTACTTTGTTTCTCTCTATTGTATCTATTTAATCTGTTGAATTGATTCATCTTCTATCAAATTTGAGCTTGCCATAGTTGAGTACTTTCTTATCTGGTTTCCTAGATATCAAAGTCAACTAGCTATCCTATTCCTATCTTATGCTTTCTTCCCCTGTTCTCTGGTTGCATTATTTTTTAATATCTCTCTTGATTGTTTACTGAATTTACTACCAATTGATCTTCTCCCAAATACAACTTCATGAGATGCATAAATGATCTCTCTCTGTCTCTTTTGCACGTGCGCACACACCCGCATGCACCGACGTGCTGGCAGATGGAGGTTGCTCACACGCTTAAGATTGTAGTTGTTTTTCGCTTTTTAGCCCCTGTTTGATTACTTGTTGAATTTCTCTTTATTATGTTATTTATTGCCTTGATTAATCTTCAACTATAGAACTTTTGTGAGAAACTTTACTGAATATTTACTTAATTATTGTTTTTTCCAGAAATGTGAATATACATGATTTAAATGTGCACTGCTCCGCTCCATATGGCCCTTGTAATTTTGGTTTTACCTTTTGTGATATCTTATGGCATATTCAATAGGATTTCCCTTTGTTTTCTTTTATGCTTGATTTCTTTTGTTATATCGCATTGTCGTATGGAATTTAACCTCTGCAACTGCACATAGAAGATGCTATGTTGATAAGAAATGGTTTTTTGCTTTCTTTTTTTGTGACTCTGCGTGAAATGATCTCTCTTGTTCTCTGTCTCTCATGGTCTTTGAAATATCTCTTTCGTTGATCTCAAATTGTTGTATAATGAGAAACAATTGTTTCTCTTGATCTGGCACTTGGGTTTTCTTGCTCTGCTCATATTTTGTTTATATGTCTCTTTTTCTGTTTGGTATAAATTCATCTCAGGCCACAATATATCTAAAATTGAGGTCTTGTTTGGGTATTCTTCCTCTGTGATTAGTTTCTTTCTCTCTCTCAATGATAAATTGTTTTCTTACTGTTTCAGTTTATCTGAATATTTGATCATCTTAAGCTGTGATATGTTTAAGATGCAATTCATCTTGGTCCTTGTTTGGGTTTTTCTTTCTCTAGAATTGCTCTCTCTCTCCAAATTAGTATCTATTAAGTGAAATTTGTAAATTCGTTCCCAACTGTTTCTAAGCTTTTACATGCAAAAGTAATTGACTGTGGTTATTTTATTGCTCTGTAGAGGCGAGAAGGCATTTTGCAGTCGGGAATGCCGTTCCCTGGAGATGATGTTTGATGAAGGACCAGAGAATTGCTTCTCAGATTCCTCTGTCTCTTCAAACGCTGGTGTGTAGGCTTAGACCCCATAATACAAATAAGAGTAAGCAAACTCAAATTGTCTTCCTCTCGCTCTCTCTCTCTCACACACTCTGTCCTGGTTCCTGCAAAGAGCAATGGGTAGCCATGGATGGTCTTCTGTTCATATTAGTTCTCCCGGACTTAAAAAAAGCCAGTCCTTGATATGAGGCACGCCTTTAAGAGACTTAAAACTCGTACAATATTTTCTTGGGCTTCCTAATGGTGTATGAATTTGTCTGTAGAGCTGGTTCCTTACAAGTGATGATAGTGGTTGCTGTTGGTTTGTCCACAGTTTTTGGATTAGTGTTTCATGATGTGTTTATTGAATGGGTCTTGCCATGACATAAAGCAGCGCGTCTTTTTGTACTCTTACCGGACTCGTGGCTTGGATTTCTCCACAGTTTTTTTGGTTGGTATTGATGGTGTATAAACTTTTGCTGTCCTTTCTCATGAGAGAGAGAAGAATCATGAATTTTGCAGTGTGGATTATGCATGATGGTCCCTGTGTGTGTGCGCGGGTGCGCAATTGTGAGAGAGAGAAGGTGGGGGGTGTTAATTATGCAGTGTGTGAGAGAGGTGGGGGGGGGTGTTAATTATGCATACTGAGAGAGAGAGAGAGAGAGCTTTTGGTTTAGCTAGTGGAAAACAGATTGTTTGTGCATAGTGAAACTGGTAAGAAGAGTTTGAGACTGATTTTGTTAGTTAGTTATGTGTGTGTGTGTGTGTGTGAGAGAGAGAGAGAGAGAGAGAGAGAAAAGAGATATTATTGTGTGAGAGAGAGAGCATTGGGTTTAGGTAATGGAAGACAAATTATTTGGGCATAGTTGAGACTGGTAAGAAGATTTGAGAGGTTTTGTTTATGAATGATGAGATTATTAAGGAATCATAATGGGTGATTTCGTGACGTTAAAGATCCCGTCTCCATTCAACGTTTAAGGTCCCACCAAAAGAGCCAAGACAAAATATTGAGATGATGTTAAGAGCCATTTTATGTGTTCCCTTGAATTATTTCGTGTGATGTATCATGAATGTGTAGAGAGAGAAACAATGTTAATAAATTATTGAATGCTGCCAAAACAGGGAGGAGAAAACTTCAATTAGAGTACTGCTTAAAAAAACTTAAAATCAAGTGTACTTGGTTTTGTATAATATCTACGACTTTTTCTTATTATATATCTTCTGAATGTGGTTGAGGATTTCTTTGTGCTCCTTTTTAATATTCTTTTTTCACGAGGTTTGGAAAGTTGGTTTTGGCACTTGAATCTTGTCAGTGTTTTTGTTTGGAAAGAGACAGCTGTCGTTTACATTTGGAGTTTGAGAATGGTGATACCTCCTACAGTGTCTCTCTCTCTCTCTCTCCCTTTCTCACTCTCTCTTTCATATTTGGAACTAAGCAGAGTGGATTTGGGAACCGGTGGGACTGACCCAGTTCCTTTTGTCAGATTTAAGAGGCATTTAGTTTTGGTAGAGAACTGGGCGATTTGGATGAGTTGGTTCTGAGACTCCTTTTTAAGTATTATATTTTTTTAAAATTTGTTTTAAAATTTTGAAAATATTATAAAAATTTGTTTTCGAGTGATCGGTATGATAGGCCCGGAACACAAATTTGGATCGGTTCAGCTATGACTAATCCAGCCACCTGATCTTGGTTTTAAAACAATGAAAATGAGAACTGTATTTGGATTTGAGAACCCTGAAAGCTCCAGGAATCTACCTCTCTCTCTCTCTCTCTCTCTCTCTCTCTCTCTCTCTCCT